AAAAAATAATAATAACACTAGTCACGATATATTTAACAGTAACAATAAATACAATAATATTAATTGTAATAACAAATACAACAATACTTAATTGTAATTCAATAATAATAATAATAATTCGAATCATAATCCGATGATCCAAAATGAGAGAACAGAAACACCATCAGGTGATGCATGATGGAAAACCAATCAAAAATCGTGACATCAATAAAAAATCTATGCCCTATCTCGTCCACTCGCGACTCTCCAATCAATGATTACAATATCATTTTATTGCTTCATCAACTGTCACATAAGATGAGAATCTTTAAAAATAATCAAAAAAGCAACAACACTGAAAACGATAACGCACCCAAACAACATTTCGCTGATTAAGTACAACATGTAAGTACGAGTACTTTTGATTAGTTCACATGCAATAAGCGGAATAAAAATGAAATTGAAAAGATAATATTTCAATCAAATATTCCCATAAAAATTGGAAATATGACGGGAATTGAAAAACTCAATGATCGAAGAAAACTGTTCGAAAACTACAGTGTATCAGTGAACGGGAACCAAACGCATTATCATTCAAGTCTCACCGATGTGAAACTTTCAATCCAACTACAAATTTCATATTGTTTCCCTCAAAAGCAAACAAAACNAAAAAAGTTATATGCAATTCTAATTATAACTTTCTCCACAAATCAAAAATCATTGAATACCGCTATTCAGTTTGTTCCATTTTGATAAAACAAGCGAAAAAATTTCGCATTTTCCACCTCCGAAAGCCTCGAGAACGTTTCTTACCTTAGTGGCAATAATTTCTTGAAAAGTGACAATAATGATGATAAAATTCATTGATAATGATAACAAGTGATAGCCAGGATGAGTCGATTTCAACCAACAAAAGTGATAGAGACGAATCGATTCGATGCGGAAGAAGTGAATGGGAACTGTTTCAGAATTTTCCTTGAAAACAGTGCGAATTCAAATGAGATGAACGGTAATCATTGGTTTCATTAGAACTAAGTTTCATAATTTATCAAAATGGAACGAAAAACATTTCATAAACGATATGTTTGCAATATAAAGACATTATTTGTTTTTAAATTGAACAAAAATGAATTATTGAAATGAGAATGAACAAAAAGGAAAAACAGGAAGGATTTCATCTGAAAACGAAAACAATTTATTGGAGATAAAGGAAAAGATTAAAAGAAAGGAAAGCATTTTAACCTTTGTGAGTGGAGCTTCAAAATATCAATAAAAAGAACTGAAAGATACGAGGATAAACATCCAAAAAATTTGCTCAAAACTATATCCAACGAGATCAAGAACATTACGATAGTGCAAATATCAAATCAGATTTATCCACCTGTAACGTACACATCAACCGTCACTGCATAAATTGATCGCAGGTGAATAAAACGTTTCAATTTCATGTTACCTGAACATGTAGACAAGAAAGGAAATTTTGCGTGATCACCAACGTTAAACAAATTCATACCATTCAATTTCGTGTGTCTCTCGTCATTAGCATTTGTTCAATACAAGCCTAGCAACCACTCTAAATCTATCCCGTCTCCAGTCCACAATCTACAAACACATACACAATGCCGTCTATGTTATGTGCAAATAAGATAAAACCTATCATATCACATAAAATGCTAAAAATTCCAAATATTACCTCGCACGCATATGTACACACCAAAAACTTAAATTATTAAGACGAGGAAATCTTATATCANCAGAACACAATACAAAACTAATTAAAACTAAATATCACAGATGTCCGAAAGTATAAAATATTATATTTTATGCTTAATTGTACAGGGAATTCATATGTTTCGTGCCTTTAATTTGATAATGCCTTAATACCTCAGCTAAATCGACGATCACTGATCAAAGATGAAATTCCATGAAGACAAATACGACTTTGTTTGCTGATATCGTTAGCTCACTGTTTCTGTATGTGTGTGAGCAAATGGGAATTCCTATCAAGGAAAGAAGCCTGTACAGACAGGCTTCTTTCCTGTCTGATATCAACAATGCGATGACTCTTTACAGATTGTTTCTAACTCATACTGAAATTGGACTATAATTTCACTGATATAACAAAGTTTGATAAAATAATCCCATGAATGACACATGTGCATACACCGCTAATTACCATACATATATGTGTGTGTGCATTAGGCATGAAGCAGACACGACACAGAAACTAATCAACCGAAATTGAATCTGCTTTCGTTGAGAAC